GCTAGACGTGCTTCTCAAACTGTGGTGCAAAACAAGGACATACGACATTTGGTTCCTCATGCATGATGATCAGCCTTATTGCTCATGCTGGTGCAGTGCCTTTTGGCTACACAAGTGAAATGGACGATTGTGAAGTGCAGTGCTTTTCCTACGATGACCATATTATCGCCTGTGAAACCATGAGTTGGATGAATAGCCGAGCTTCCACCACCGGTAAGTTGATCTTGAATTACCGTATTGATGAATCATAAATACAAATACTTAGCTAAGAAAAACAGTAGAAATAATTTGAAATAAGGATCGCACATCGTTTTTTTTTCCATAAATTCATCTTAATCGGTTAAGTCAATGTTGAACACTCGCGCGAAAAGTATTTACTACGACATGCAATGTATTGTGTTTATGAGACTCGTTGACATGACGCACAGCTGACAGTAACACGTTCACCCCTGGAGGTCAATGACATGGCGCGAGTGCATGAGAGGGAGCCAACCTGTTCAGATTTGTTACGTCATGTTTGGACAAGTGAAGGTAGCCAGGCGGAGCAGGTGCAAAATGTACCGTTACTCATCTCACTTTCACTTTGATCTCATCTCTTGTATTTTGAATGTTTTTTGGTCATTTTGGTATCATTTTTTAAATGGTTTTCTCTCTCTCTCTTTCTCTCTCTCTCTCTCTCTCTCTCTCTCTCTCTCTCTCTCTCTCTCTCTCTCTCTCTCTCTCTCTCTCTCTCTCTCTCTCTCTCTCCCTCTATCTATCTATCTATCTATCTCTCTCTCTCTGTCTCTCTCTCTCTCTCTCTCTCTTTATCTCTCTCTTTCTCTGTCTCTCTCTCTTTCTCTCTCTCTCTCTCTCTCTCTCTCTCTCTCTCTCTCTCTCTCTCTCTCTCTCTCTCTCTCTCTCTCTCTCTCTCTCTCTCTCTCTCTCTCTCTCTCTCTCTCTCTCTCTCTCTCTCTCTCTCTCTCTCTCTCTCTCTCTCTCTCTCTCTCTCTCTCTCTCTCTCCTCTCTCTCCCTCCCCCCCCCCCCCTCCTTCCCTCCGTCCCTCTATTACCCTCACCCTGTCCTCCTCCCTCCTTCCTTCCCTCCCTCTCCTTGTCCTTCTTCCTCTCTCTCTTTTATCTCTTTCCTCAGTTCTAATGTAAACACGAACCACAAACATCTACCCCCTACGACGCGAACAGTCACTCAACTCCCCTTTTCCCATCCAGTTAATACCAGACAAAATTGTTCATTACTAATAACAGAAATTACGACAAGGATAACAATCACTCCCCTCAAACACGAATCTAGAATAAAAAAAAACAAACACATTAGTGGATGATGAATAAGCAAGAAGCGACGATGAAAAAATGAATGGATATTCATCGGAATGACGTGAGTCAGGCTAGCGGTGCACATTTTTATTCACCTGAGTAATGTTTTCCAGGAATCGGCTCTCGTGTGCTATGCTCCAGTCTATCGAATATGATTTATTGAGATTCCTAGAATTAGCGAGGAATTTTGAATGCATGTTTGTACATACTTTGATATATTATATTATATATATATATATACATATATAAATATAAATATATATTTCTGTTGCAGTCCACACTTGATTCAGCTAGCGGAATGTTTATATGCGTTCATTGAAATAAGCATATATAGCAATATGTATTTTTCTTTATCACGGCATATACGAGTATCAGGTGACACATGAATTCACAGAACACCTTGTAAAAAAAATGTATTGTATATATTTTGGTGTGTTGAATATATCTGATCAAGATATCGATCCGGAAAGAGTAACTGCACACGTGGGTAAACGGCAATATATCTGCGTAACAACGGCAAATTTGTGACGCATAATTATCATACCACTAATAACAGCATTGATAAAACGCTCACATAATTATTCGATCTAAACAGGTGTGCGTGGCAGAGGGAGCTCTCGCCTCGTTGCGGAGATCTACTCATATCTGGTTTCCGTTTTAATTAATATTTGTCATTGTTTTTATTATTGTTTATCTTTCTTTTTTTGTGACTTCCTTTCTTTTTCTCCTCTCCCTTCTCCTTTTTTTTCTTTTTCTTATTCTTATTTTTTATTTTTATTCTTCTTCCTCCTCCTCCTCCTCCTCCTCTTCTCCCTCTTCCTTTTCATCTTCCTTCTCCTTCTCCTCTTCTTTCTCCTCTTCCTCCTCTTCCTCTTCCTTTTCCTCTTCCTCCTTCTCCTCCTTTTTTATTCATTCTTTGTCTTCCCTCCCTTTCCCGCCCTTGTCCGGCACCAACTAACGGCCACGCCCCTCTCCCCCAGGTCTGCCCCCCCTGCCCGACCTCATCACGAGCAACACGCCCCCGGCATCGCCCCTCCGCCGCGCTCACTCCTACCACTTCCTCTTCCCGGAGAAGCCCAGCGCCGCGTCCCGGGCTCGGAGACCGCCCACGCCTTCAGCCTACGTCTCCCGGGACACGCCCCCTACCCCCAGCCTGAGCACGCCCACCCTCTCGCCCTCGCGCGTCGGATCGCCAGCGAGGGAGGACGAACGCCTGACCGCGAGCCTCAAGCACATCCAAGAGGTGAAGCAGAAGGTGCAGAAGGACCCTGGCTTCGTGGACCGGCGGCAAAGCGACCTCCCGCAGCTCACGTGGGAAGTGCCGCGCTACAGGGACGTGCGGGAGGCCGAAGAAGGGGAGGAGAGAGGGAAGAGAGGCGATAAAGGAGATGGGGATAAAGGAGAAGGAAGGAAGAGAGAAGATGAGAAGGACAGCGAGGAGACGGCGCAGCAAAGAACATGGCGGCTCGTCGGACGTGACCTGCGGAAGTTGGGGGACCAGTTCGCGCTCAAGCATGCTCAGGTAAATATATTTTTTTTCTACTGCATTTACTAGACTTGTTTATTTTGCTGAAGTTCTGTAATATTCACTGACTACTGAATAGATACAGATTTGTCATTTAAACGTAACTTTGGGTAAATAACTTGACATACCAGTTTCCTGTTTACCTGTCTCTATCTGCGCACGTGTCGTCACCACGTCACGTGTACATGTTTGTTTAGGACACCTGGTCATCACGGTTGTCTCTCGGGATGCTTAGTTAATTACCTGATCTTATTATCATTACTTGTTGGCGCTTACATGAGCTATATAGGAGGGAGGGAGGGAGGGGGAGGGGTGATGGATGGGAGAGGAAGAGAGGAGTGGGGGAAGGAAGGGGGGGGATGAAAGGGAGAGGGAGAGAGGAAGGAGAGGGGAGAAAAGAGCTAAGCTTTTCTTACTCTGAATATTATTCTTATTAATACCCCCCTACCATTCAGACATGTTGGGATTATTTTATTATCATTCAGATCGAACACGCACTTCATACGCCCCTAAACAGAAATCGATAAAAGTAAAACAAAAAAAATACTGTTACAAAAAATTAACAGCTACAATACACCTCCATCTTTATATCGGAACACGCAAAAATCTCCCCATTTTATGACATCCGAATCGATCGGCGATGTCACTTTGATGCCATCAGGAGGGTCGGCTAATTACAGCTAGCTCCCCCTCCTCTCCCCCCTCCCCCTCAACCTGACGCCCACCCGATTACAATCAATAATGATAATCATAAGGCGATAATGAGATGCACGTGGGTGTTGACGCGTCTCGACTTGGCTGGCGGTGGACACTAGGACGCTAACGGGCTTAACGGCGCTATGGATCCGGCTTTGCTTCGGACTTTATCGGATTCTGGCTTTGGTTGAGCAAAAGGGAGGATTGGTGTTGATGCTCGTGTGTGGTTGGGGTTTATTTGGTCGTTTGGTCGGTATTTTGGGGAATTGTTTTGGATAAGGGAAGGTTTCAGGTTTTCTAGGATTGGAGTTTTTATTTACCTGTTTTTGGTGTTTTATTTATTTATTTATTTATTGTGGAGTTATTAGGATTCCAATTGTATTTCCGTAACCTTTCTCCCTATTTGTGTGTTTTTTATATATAGAATTACTCTGTTTCCGAATTAGACAATATTTTTCTGATCGTTTTCTCTCAGTTACTCTGCAATCATTATGATGTTCAGAATTCTTAATAGTGTCTCCTCTAGCCTTTTTTCTTTTTTCTTTCTTTTTTTTTTACATAATTAAAATATTCAGGATTCTAACGTCCTTTTTTCTTGTTTTTTAGAGGGTTGACGCCAAACCGAACAACAACGGCTACATGAGCTCCGCAGTTCCGCTGACGTTCACTAGATGTCTCTCAGCCTCCATCCTGTGCTTGGTGTGGTGGCGCCTCCTCAACAAACTCCGCTGATCGAAAAAGAAAAAAGGAGAGGAAAAGAAGGATGAGGAACCGAGAACGATGAATTGGGAAAAGAAGAAAGGAATCAAAAGGAAATGAAGAAAGAAAAGGAGGGACAAGCAGGAGAAAAAGAGACACACACGCTCACCCATTGAAATGATCTCAGGATTGTTGTCCTCAAATGTCTTTCAGAGAATCTATCGGAAGTCTTTCAGAACCTTACAAAAAAAAGACAAACTGCCAATGTGCTTTTCTTTTAAGAGAGGAATGCATTTATTGTAGATTTTGTAAAAAAAGTAGATTAATCGATAGGAACTTTTTTCTAAAGGATTCAAGCTATTTTTTATTAGGCTTGGAAGTTCATTTGATTCTTGTATTGCTAGTGTTAATGCGGAGGACACCTTACGGGTCTAAGAAGGATTCGACAGGCGTCCTCAAAGTGTCCTCTTTATACACAGTGTATAATGGAGTGACCTTAAAACCCGGGTGGTTCGCTTACCCGTCACTACCCACATGTCTTTCACTGTCCTAGAGTTGCATTGCCCAGTTAGAGTGTAAGGAATTCGTCAGCGTGGAGGCTTTTGGGGACAAACAGATAGACAGACAGACAAAGAGAGAAAAAGACAGAGAGAGAGAGAAGAAAAATATGTTTAAGGAAATGTGTTCCTCTATGTACAAAATGGAGGAAGGTCGTCCCCCTTGAGAACCCTCTTCCCCCCCCCCCTCTCTCTCTCTCTCTCTCTCTCTCTCTCTCTCTCTCTCTCTCTCTCTCTCTCTCTCTCTCTCTCTCTCTCTCTCTCTCTCTCTCTCTCTCTCTCTCTCTCTCTCTCTTCACCACGCTGGCTTAGTCGTTAAGTTTACTATACCGAGGACGACTCGAGTTGTCTGCGGGACTTGGTGTAGCTTTAGTCCGAACAAGCGATGGATCTCAATTACCAGTTGTATGGTCGAACTACCGGTCTTTCATATTAGCTGTTACGTTCACGGCCGTTACTGATAAGGTTGTAAGATAAGGAGAAATTATTATGTGTTTGCATCGATGTACAGAGCATGTGTTTTGAACCATGTGTATGTTGGTTTGTAGACACGTAGCTGTACAAACTGTATAAAGATTTATTGTCCTTGTAAATATGTTGAATTTAGAAATGTGAGTTAGCCTGCTAGGAACTAGGTGTTTTTTATATAATTTTGATAAAAGCGGAAAGGTTTCTTCACTCAACTTATTGTCACAAGGCGAAAAATACCCAGTTCCTCGTTTGGTCTTTTGATGCATTGGCGCATGAACTGTTCGACTATGTATATATGGTAAAACAAAGGCTTTTGTAAATTTCTAAATGAGCATTATGTGTGGATTTTTGTTTCACAATGGTAGCAAGATTTACACAGGAACAAAAAATCTTGCTGGTTGCTTCTGTTTATATGATTTGTGCTGATTGGTGCTCCGTCTAGTGTTAATATTATATTATGGACACGATTGAGCAACGTTGATTCTACAGAGAACTGAAGAAAAACAAAAAATGAATAGCAAAAAATATTCTTTCTAAAAATCTTAACTAGTAAAAAGAGGCAATATAATACAGTTCTTTCTGGAGGGACAGAAGTGTGCTCGATGCGTGTCCACGATCATCAAAGCTGTAAAACGTGATACTGCTTAAAATGTTTGTGAAATAGTGTGTAAGCATTTTTGGGAGGATATCCTGTGAGGCGAAGATGCTTACTTATTTGTGAGTCATAATCGTGAATAAGCAGGATTTTTTTTTTTTCTTGGGTAGAAAGGTAGACTTCTCTTCTTTCTTCTTTCATCTGCTCTTCGTCCTATCTCTTTCTTCTGTTTCCCCCTTTTCCCCTTTGTCTTTAATTCTGCTTGTAGAGATGAAAAAAAATATTTGATTATGTTTTCTCTCCGACACTTTCCGGCGATTCGTAAACATCAATGGAAAGAAATTATCCTATGCATTATATTTTCTTTGAGCATGTTCGTTTTTTCATCATTCCCTTCTTGTATTTACTGAATTCTTTATGATTTGCAAAGTTAAGGAAACAGAGTATTTGTAACATGTATTTGTACTATTATTATTTTCTTCTTGTCATTATCTGTCGAAAATGGTATATTTGACGTTTCATTATAACAATACACTCCGAGGCATAATTCCAAAGACACTTGATCAATATATCACCTTAATCACCACGATCCGCCAAAATTTTATTTGCTCACATGACGATACTGTAAGCTGAGTGTTGTAACATCTAGTCATCATAAGCATCGTGAAGATTAAGTTGAATATTGTTAAGCAAACTCTACGGGAAGTGCCTCCGTGTTTGAATGATGTTGTGTTCTTTCAATTCTATTAATTTCATGTTTTGTTTTATATTCCGCTTGAATACTTCTTTATTGTCTCTATTATTTACTCCTTCTGCTGTTAGATTACGCTAGTTAGCTATATTTCTCATTGCTTAAAAGACATTTTTTGTACATTTGTATTTTATACCAAGACATTTTTAACGCTTGAATTTCAACCCAGGAAACTATATCTGTATGTCCGGTTGGCCAAAAAGAATATTTTGTAACATTAATTGGAATACAATGTTTCTGGAAATAAATTTAAGTGACGGAACGAATATTTATTATTTAACAAAACACGGTATTTTAATGTGGTTTTAAAACAGTGAATGGTGTTAAGAAAAAAATCAGCTTGACAACATGGAGACACTCTAGGCAAAAGGACATTTCTGTTATATTTCGTTAAGATATAACAGATTTTTCTTGTCGGTAACAGTGAAGCAAAATTCAAACACATATATAGAGACGAACAAATACACACATATATATATATATATATATATATATATATATATATGCATATATATATATATATATATATATATATATATATATGCATATATATATATATATATATATATATATATATATATATGTATACACACACACTCACATATATATATATATATATATATATATATATATATATATATATTTGTGTGTGTGTGTGTGTACATATATATCCTGTGTGTGTGTGTGTACATATATATCTCTGTGTGTGCATATACATATATAAATGCATATATATATATATATATATACATATATATAAACATATATGTATAAATATATGTACATACACTCACACATACACACACACACTCACACACATTACATGCATACACACACACACACACACACAAATATAAATATATACATATATGTGTGTATATATATGTATATATATATATATATATATATATGCATATGTAGAAGTATACTAATGCATAAGTGTATATATGTGTGTGTATATTATATTATATATATACATATATATGTAGGTATATATATATATATGTGTGTATGTGTGTTTGTTTGTCTGTGTGTGTGCGTGTGTGTGTGTGTGTGTGTGTGTGCGTTTGTGTGTGTGTGTGTGTGCATATGCATGTATATATGCAGGCATATATATATATATATATATATATATATATATATATATATATGTATATATATATACATATGTGTGTATATATATATCATATATATATATATATATATATATATATATATATATGTATATATATATACATATGTGTGTATATATATATCATATATATATATATATATATATATATATATATATATATATATATATATATTATATATATATATATATATATTATATATATGTATATACATATATATATATATATATATATATATATATATATATATATATTACGGGTGGCATACTCAAGTCCGTTGCAGCCACTGCGAAAAGTCCGGGAAGACCTACACATGGACAGGCTCCATTTTGCTGGCATTCCCCGTGGAAGAGGACTGGGTTCCTCACAATGAAATTCCTGTCCAAGTTCATCATGTCAAGTACTTCAATAGATTTCCGACTGAACGACATAAACGAAGCTACGGCTGATCTGACAGGTAGAGTCGCGACCGGCAATGGCAGAAATGAGGCTACTAAGGTCGTTATCCAACATAAAACTCATCAAAACTTAAAACAAGAATTTCAAAATAGCCACATGGCATGTAAAAAACTATGAATCAAAAAGGAAAATTGCACAATGTGAAGCAGGAGATGACCAGAATGAATGAATAGACATATTGGGAATGAGTAACGTACGATGGACAGGATCGTTTAAGACAGAAAATATGAGTATGCTATAATCAGGACAGGACAAAAAACATGAAAAGGGTGTTGGTATGCTCAGTAATGAACTTTCAAAGGAATTGATTGTTTTTTGGCAGTACCGGATCGAATAATCATTGTCAAAATCAATGCGAAGCTACACAATCTCTCGCTGAGACAGGTATACGCGCTGACCAAAGATAAAATTCCAACTGCTTAAATACAGTGCAGAGTTGAAAGCAGCTTACAGTCAGTGAGTGTAACACCAATTAGATCTGGACTTCATCGCCGCAAATCGAAACAGAATGCAGTAATAATCTCTTCGCAAAACTGAAGTAGCTCTGACCAAAACAGCGGAGGAAGTGATTCCGACAGTGAAGAGGAAGGCAAAACAGAAGTGGATGACGGAGGAGATTCTGTTACTTTATGGACGAACAGAGACGAATGAAACATAACACAGAAAAATACAAAGCCTTGAACTAGATCAGGAGAAAGTTTCCGGAAGCGAAAGACAAGTTTCTGAACATGTGTGTGGAAGAAGAACAACTTGAGAAAGTTAACCTACAAAAATGAATAAAAAGATCAAGCAAGTCACCAACAAACGCAGGTCATGTTATGCATTAAGTTGCAGTGAGGCTACGAATGGCGAGGTATTGAGGAAAAAGACGGGAAGAGTATATTTCGGATCTGTTTGCTGATAACAGAGGAACAGAGCCAGCTATCATGAAACGCAAGGAAGATCTTCCTATCCTAGAGGACAAAGTTCGAAACCACGAAACTGCGAGACGAGAAAGCAGTGGAGCCTGGCGATATCGCAGCCGAAATGATCAAAACCTTAGACGACACTGGAATCAAAATGGTGACAAGACTTATCAACACTATCTATGATGAGGGGCGGATACCAAATGAACTTTGTAAATCGGTGTTTACTGCTCTGCCAAAGAAAGCAGGAGCAAAGAAGTGTGAATTATACTGCAATATAA